AAAAAAAAAAAAAAAGAAGTCAGAAGGAACAGAAAATTTCCTTTGCCACAAGAAATTTTGAATGAAATTGTCATTATAAAAAATAACGCCATAACAATATCTTTCATAACCACACTTATATTTGTCTAGAGTAATTTGTCATGTAACTAACAAGTTGTTGATTGAGATAATAAATAGTCTTATTCTCATAAAAAGAAAATACAAATTTAAAGTTTGAAAAAAATATTTATTAGGAGAGACGGAAACTCTTTCAGCCTTGACCAAATGAAAAAAATAATTTGCCATGTGTCATTGAAATTCCGCTCTGACGCCCTCAAGCAAGCCCTCAGAAAGTAACCAACTATCTTTTCATAAATTTGAGTCTTTGAGATGATAAATTTTGTAACAGCTTTTCTGAAAAATGGGGGAAAAAAGAATCCTCGTATATGTTTGTGGTCGGTCCGCATGTCAAGGCATTCGAAAGTCGAGATCAGCGGTAATTGGTCACAGCAAGGACAGCTCACATGTTTCGTACTTACCTTGGCAGGTTCGGTACAAAAGAATTGAGAAGAGTTGTCTTTTTCCTTTTATTTTTAAAATCATATACAGATTAAATTTTAATAACTTATAGTTTAGTATGCACCTCAAATATTATAATTTAAAATAATAACAATTGGATTGAAAATTTAAATTTCTAAAATTTAATTTAAATAATTAAGCAGTTATAGGAAAAAGAAACATTTTTTGCACAACACATTCGGGTAGCTAGCCCAGTTGCCCGTGGATTTTGCTGCACCTTTCAATTGATTGGCCAAAAATAAATATGCATCTTCTTTTTGTAATTGCTGAAAAATATCTTATTACAAAATTTAAAAAAAAATTGCATACGCTAAACATAAGTTACAGCTACTCAAAGACATGAGTATTTAGTTCTTTTTTTTTTAAACAAATTTTACAACGGGCGACTGATAAAAAATTTGCCCTTTTATTTTTCAAAAATCTAATAATATTTTTGATAAAAATATATTTTTAATCTTTTAGCTTCAAACAATATTTTGTCTTGAACTAACAATATTAAAATTAAAAGATTAAAAATATGCCTTATAAGATTAAGGAACCAAACTAAATTCTTTGAGAGATGAAAGGAACACTTTCCCCTAATATTTTTAAACTCCATGCTCAGCAATTAGCTGTAAAATTTATTTATCATATATTATTTTAAAATCAATTATTTAAGAAATTTTATTAAAAATTGAAATTGAGTTTTATTTAAAATATTAAAAAAATTAATTTAATGATTTCACACATATTTTAAAGTCAAATTTAACAATCAATATCCATACATCAATATGTACAAAATAAAATTGATAAGAAGCAGAGCGACATATAAGTTATTAATAATAAATCTTCTTTTGGCTACTGTATCTGAGCTTAGATTATATACAAGAAACTCAAATTTTACTTAACCCTCCTTTTATAATGTGGAAGAAAATTGGCTCAAAAGAAATCAGGAAAAAGTATTAATTCTTTAGAATTAAAGAGTTAAACGTCATTTCCACTTAAAAAACAAAGAAGAGTTAAAGGTCGTTTCCACTTAAAAAAAAAAAAAAAGAATTACAGGTCATTTTCTTATGAATATAATATTAGGGTGAATGTCCACCTCTCTCTTATTATCTCTAATATCCCTGTTATCTTATAATTATCTCTTAACTATTATAGAATCTATAGATTCAATTAAAGTTGAAATTGTATAGTTATACCTATAAATAAATGACATATAGTACCTTGAACAAGAATAAAAAATATTTTTTTATCTCATATCCAATTCTTTACTTATCTTCTTTATTGAATACTTTATGTTTTCTTTATTTTCATAAAAAAAATTTCTTTTTTTTTCTCATAACAATTTGTCTTTAAACTATTTTTTCAGAAAACTGATTTGAAATAGGAAGAAAAGTGCAATATTGCTGCTATGCTACACAATCGACAATTAGTTTATAGAAAAAAAAAATTATAAAAAATATTTCAAAAAATTAGAAATATACTCTTAAAGAAGCTAATAACAATAAATATCAAAATTGCAAATAAACAACAAGGGACTAATTTTTTTAACTCCGGTAAAAGACCAATTTAGTCCCTTGATATGTAGTTATAATTTTTTAGATTTTGGTATACTTATTTGTAAATTTTGGGGGCCTTTTCTGTTGGTTAACTAATATTCATAATTATAAATGTTTAATAGAGGGACAACATCGCATTTATTTTAATACTCCTCCGATCTTTAATATAGGGAAAATCCCTTAAAAAGACGCTTTAATAACTCAAATTCTTATTTGAGTCGTTAAATTTATCAAATTCTTAATCAGGTCATATAACCCAAAGAGGAATTTTAAAATTTTATGAAATGACTTTAATACTCATTTCATTAGAAATCTAGATAGATGAGAATTTGTATCATTCTCGTGTTGATTAAAAACTTTGAATGAGAGAAACTTGGCATATAGCATTGCAAGTCGAAAAATTGATCAAGTAAGTAGTGGCGAATTAGTTTTTATATTAAATTTTCCTCCCTTATTGCAAGTGTGTTATAAAAATAGAATGCTGTTAATTTAGAATAGAAATGTATTAACTATGAAATAGAACGTGTTAATTTTCAAGTTTGTATAGTGACCAAGTTTTATTCAAAAACTCATTACAAGTGTGTTATGCAGATATAAAACTGTTAATTTAAAACTAAAACTTGTTAACTACGTAATTTAACGTGTTAATTTTCAAGGTCGTATAGTGATCAAGTTTTATTGCAAGTGTGTTATGGGGACAAAAAATTGTTAATTTAGAATTAAAACGAGTTAATTGTACATTATAACATGTTAACTTTTAAAATTATATTATGATCAAGTTTTTTCCAAAAACTTATTGCAAGTGTTTTATGCAGATAAAAAGTTGTTAATTTAGAATCGAAAAGTATCAACGGTGAAAGAGAACATGTTAATTTTGAAGATTATATTGTGATTAAATTTTATTCAAATATTTATTGTTAGTGTATTATGAAGATATAAAGCTTTAATTATTTAGAACTAAAATTTGTTAACTGCATAATTGAACTTCTTAATTTTTCAAGCTGTATTGCAATAAATAAAATTTTATTAAAGACTTCATGTAAATGTATTATAAAGATAGAAAGTTGTTAGTTTAGAATTAAAATGTGTTAATTGTAAAATGAAATATTCTAATTTAGAATTTTCTTTTAGTTTCTAATGAAAAGGGCATTAAAGTTATTTCATAAAGTTTTAAAATCCCTCTTTAGGTTATATGGCCTGATTAGGGATTTGACAAATTCAATGACTTAAATAAGAATTTAGGTTATTTAGCTGTCTTTTTAAGGGATTTTCCCTTTAATATAAGACCCATTTAACTAATTTGATTAGATTGAGAAAATTAGTTAAGTTAGTTAATTATAAGAAATGTGACACGTTTTTTCTAAAATATCATAATCATCTTTCTTAATACCCCCTCTCTCTTCTACTTGATTATGGTTGAGGGGGTATCCATATGAGTAATTTAGAGAAAACTGATAAATATGAGAAATGAGTTCTATAATTAGGATCAAAACCAACTCAATAATTGGGTCCTATATTAAAAATTGGAAGAGTATCTCAAAGGCAATGTCGTATCCATTGATTGATTAAGATATAAACTTAGAGTCTCTTCACTTTATTTTGAATTTGACATTAATTTTTGTTACGAGCATTAGGATTAAAGTCCTTTCATTGTGCTTTTAAGGATTTAACTTGTATTCTCCTCTTTATAAAGTGAGATTATTTATTATTTTAACTAATAGTTTGTTGATACTGATAATTTAATATACCTATTATACCAAATAGGATAGTTAAAGATAAAAATAACCTCTGACCCTTTATAAATTATTTCTTTCAATTTTCTTTCTCTTGGACAATCAACAGGAGCGACTCTTTTTCAATTCAATACGCATTTCCGCATTGCGTTCGCGCGTGCTAAATACTCTCTAGTTGATTGACCCACAGGACACAATACGTTGATTAGGGTACGTGTTTCCACGCCCCCCGCTTTGGTGCGTTGATAGGATCTTTTTGATGATCCCATCTGTAACACATAAAAAATCTAAAATAAAATAATGAAAGGTATAGAATAAATTGCTTCTATAATCTTCAGTTGTGTTTATGAACTTCTGGTTAAAAAAGAAGTTGTGTTTATGAACCAGTTGGCAAACAGAAAGTTATATTTATAAACCATTTCTTGTGTATTTTATCAAAATTAATAAAAAATTTAAACCTTATTAATTCTATTTAACTTCTTTCCGGAATACCTAAATCAGAGGTTTAACACGTTAATTAAATTTAGTTAAAAGTAACAAATGTGTAATATATATAATTCTAGCTTTATTTGTAAAAGGAATACATGAGAGATAGTTAGTGTCAATTTATTATAAAAAGATAATAAATATCATATATTTAATAGGGATAAAAAGAAAAATATTAATTTAAAATTTAAGAGAATTTGTTTCTTATATTTAAGGGCACAATTATAAGAGATATTGTTTCTTATAAAAAGGACTTACAGAATAAAATTTAATAATTTTAAAAATAAAATTATATACTCATGTAATAAATTTAATGATATGACTTGTTTTAAGAAAATTAAAAAAGACCAAAGCATTATTTTAAAGGAAAATTAAATAGTGACAAGTATTAATTCACAAAAGTTTAAGGACTTTGGTAGAAAGATTTAAAGAGTGTTTGATAAGATAGAAAAGTATTTTTTAAAAGTATTTTTTTACAAAATAAAACAGACTCATCTGTATATTTATTTTGTATACTATAAAAATACTTTAAAATCATAATTTAGTTACGAGGGGTCAATTGCAAGTTTGAGCAATTCTAAATTTTATTTCTGTCAGAGGACGCTGAAATTCTTCCACTCCACTAGTTTGTTACTGTTAGCTTTTAGTTACTGTTTCCTTGGCATCTCTCCGTGCTCTAATCTTACGCTAAGCGCAGTTCTCCCTGTCTTTGTCTTTCTCTTTCAGTCTTGCTTCTGACTCGTTGATCTTTTTCTTCCATTCTCTGTGTCTCTTCCATCGTCCTTCTCCTCCGGCAACAAGCGCCGGCGGGAAGCACTGTGTTCGTGCAGTTCATTTGGCCTTTTCCCCCATATTTGAGATTGATCTTGGCCGTGTATATGTGAAGGCTGGTTTTCCTCTTCTTCATGCTTCGGTCATATAAATGATGCAGCTTCTTTTGCTTCAGTAAAGCTGTGTATGAGGTACGGGATAGGGGATTTCTTGAATTTGGTGCTTCAAAGTCTGAATTTACACTTACCATCTTCATCAATAAAGCTCCATAAACTCAAACCCTAGCCATCCTCACCATTCACGACGTTACTCCCTTTGTCCCTCACTTGTCCGGCGCCTCACCCACAAACTCCATCAATCTCTCTTGGCTCTTTCTCTGAAGCTCCAGCTCTGCCTTTCGATCTCTCAGTCCCTGTTGCTCACGGCTTAATCTTGCTTAATCTCAGTGTCAGTGTCAGTGTCAGTCTCTTGTTATTCACACGCAGGAATCCCCATTAGATCTTCGATCGTGTAAGTCTGACCTGCTTCCTCCCCACTTTTACTGTGCTTTGGTTTCTGTTTCTATGCTCCGTTTCCACTTTCTTCTGCTATGATTCCGTAATTTTTTTTTGTCTACATATTATATTTTTTGGCTCAATAAGTTTCTTTTTTCACTTGGTAAGTGAATGGCAAATCTTGACATTGCTTTAGTAGTTGAAGCTAAACTTTCAAACTGAGTAACTGAAACTGAGTTCCTTGACTTTCGGTATTTCAAAGTGCGCTCTGGTTCAACTGCTGAAGCATAATAATTGCTATAAGTTTATTTTAGTGATGCCAAAAATATTATGATCTCAGTGGGAGGGTTTTGCCCTAAAAATTGATTAATTTGTCAATCTCACGTGAATTTTCTAGCCTCGGGAGAAATTGATGGCGTCAAATAATGAAAAGCTATTATTGATTCTAATTTTGTTTTTAAGGTAAAGGTATTATATAATATTTTTGGTCTATATTATTGAAATATATCATATTGAGGATTCAGTCTTAGCTTATGAGCGACAAAAACTAAGTGAGATTTGTGTTGGATCTCCATCTACCATGCTTGCTCTTGTAAAATCAGCTGTCTTTTTTTTTTTTTTTTGGTCCTTGTAATTATTCTAACGCTGCATTTCTCACTCTCTCACATCTATGCACTTTCTCTGGCTCGGGAAGTTGATCTTGCTTTTTCCGAGCTTCTGTCATTGTCAATGAAAGATGTGTTAAATCATTCATTTGGATTTAGCTTTCTTCTTGAATTGATATATGCTTTTATACAACCATCTTAATACCATTCGAATCCTCAGTGATGCTTGATGCTTTCGTGGTGTCTAAGTTTTAGTAGTTTGTTAGATTTTGGCTCATGGGGGGTAATTATAAGTCAATTAATATATTTAGACATTCTCTCTTAGATCTTCTGAATTTGATATATGTATTTTTACAGGCTTGTTTAGTTGAATATCATATTTCTCTCATTCTTTTGTATCATCTCTTTGCTGCATGCCAATTTACTTGCTGCGTTTATCTAGAACTGTACTCGAAGATAAATTTTGTAATGATGAGAGATGATGAGAGAGTTGACTGAAACTTCTAAATAGGCTTTTCAAGTACCATACCTTTTACTTCGATATGGCTAGGCTTCCTAATTATTGCAGGAAATGATGTTGAATTCGTTTACATATTTCAGGAATATCATTCTTCTTGTGGAAGTTTGAAGAATTTGATTGTGAGGAGTCTGCGTGGGTAATCTTGTCTACCGAAGGGCCTTTGTTGCCATAAAAGATCATAATGGTATCTAGGTCTTATTCTAACTTGTTTGAGCTTACTTCCTGCGATTCCCCAACTTTTGGTCGGGAGAAGAAGAGGCTTCCTCGAGTGGCGACTGTTGCTGGGGTACTTTCAGAACTAGATGATGAGAGCAACAGTGCTGGCTCTGATGCTCCCTCCTCCATCTCTCAAGATAGGATGATTATTGTTGGTAACCAGCTTCCTTTGCAAGCTCACAGAAAAGATGATGGTAAGTGGGATTTTACCTTGGATGAGGACTCTCTTCTTTTACAGCTGAAAGATGGCCTAGGCGATGATGTAGAGGTGATCTATATTGGGTGTCTTAAAGAAGAAATTGATGTGAGCGAGCAGGACGATGTTGCTCTGTATTTGCTTGACACTTTCAAATGTGTACCCACGTTCCTACCTCCTGAGCTTTTCAGCAAATTCTATCATGGGTTCTGCAAACAGCATCTATGGCCTTTATTTCACTACATGCTTCCACTGTCACCTGATCTTGGTGGTCGATTTGATCGGTCTCTTTGGCAAGCTTATGTTTCCGTGAATAAGATATTTGCAGATAAAGTAATGGAAGTCATTAGCCCTGATGATGACTTTGTCTGGGTTCATGACTACCATTTGATGGTTCTGCCAACATTTTTGAGGAAGAGATTTAACAGGGCGAGGCTAGGATTCTTCCTCCACAGTCCATTCCCTTCCTCTGAGATTTACCGAACACTTCCTGTGAGGGATGAACTTCTTAGAGCTCTTTTGAACTCTGACCTTATCGGGTTTCATACTTTTGATTATGCAAGGCACTTTCTCTCATGTTGCAGTAGAATGCTCGGGCTTTCTTATCAATCCAAGCGGGGCTACATAGGCCTTGAGTATTATGGTAGAACTGTTAGTATCAAGATTCTTCCTGTTGGAATCCATATTGGCCAACTTCAATCTGTCATGAATCTTCCTGAGACGGAGAATAAGGTCTCAGAATTACGAGACCAGTTCAGAGGTCAAACTGTGATGCTTGGCGTTGATGACATGGATATCTTCAAAGGAATCAGCTTAAAACTTTTGGCCATGGAGCAATTGCTGTACCAACATCCAGATAAGAGGGGACAAGTTGTTATGGTCCAAATTGCAAATCCTGCAAGAGGACGAGGGAAGGATGTACAGGAGGTACAAAGTGAAACTTATGCCACTGTAAAAAGGATTAATGATACATTTGGAAGGCCTGGATACACACCTGTTATCTTGATTGACACACCACTCAAATTCTATGAGCGAATAGCTTATTATATAATTGCAGAATGTTGTCTTGTGACAGCAGTGAGAGATGGTATGAACCTTATACCCTATGAATATGTCATTTGTCGACAAGGAAATGAGAAACTAGACCAGATTTTGGGGATAAATCCATTTTCTCAAAAGAGGAGCATGCTGGTGGTATCTGAATTCATTGGGTGCTCCCCTTCATTAAGTGGGGCAATTCGAGTGAATCCATGGAACATTGATGCTGTTGCCGAAGCTATGGATTCTGCCCTTGTAATCCCGGAATCTGAGAAACAGATGCGACATGAGAAACATTATAGGTATGTTAGCACACATGATGTTGCATATTGGGCACGTAGCTTCTTGCAGGATTTGGAAAGAGCATGTAGGGACCATCTTAGAAGGAGGTGTTGGGGCATTGGTTTTGGCCTAGGATTTCGGGTAATTGCTTTAGATCCAAATTTCAGAAAGCTATCAGTTGAGCATATTGTTTCGGCTTACAAGAGGACCAAGCACCGGGCAATTCTTTTGGATTATGATGGTACCATGATGCAGCCAGGAACAATTAGTACGACCCCAAGTGCTGATGCTGTTGGAATCTTGAAGAGCCTTTGCAGCGACCCTGATAATGTTGTTTTCATTGTTAGTGGGAAGGAGAGAAAGACTCTGACTGATTGGTTTTCGTCATGTGAAAGGCTAGGGATTGCTGCAGAACATGGTTACTTTTTGAAGTATGTCGCTTAAATGTTTTCATGATGATTGTGCATTCATAGTCTACTTTTGGTTTTCTTTCACTAGTTTTAACTTCTGTGCATGTTGAATTTAACTTCCATTTTTCTTTGGTCCCAAATGTGGTACCATTCTTCATTATTTATTTTTATTTTGGTTGTGTTTGCTTTCATGCTTAATTTCTGGGGTTATCCCTTTCTTCCCCAGGACAAGTAATGCTGCAGAATGGGAAACTTGTCTCTCTGTCCCGGATTTTGACTGGAAACAGATTGCTGAGCCAGTAATGCAATTATACACAGAAACAACAGATGGTTCTAACATTGAGGCCAAAGAAAGTGCTTTAGTTTGGAACTATCAGTATGCAGACCGTGACTTTGGTTCATGCCAGGCTAAGGAGCTTCTAGACCACCTGGAAAGTGTTCTTGCTAATGAACCTGTATCTGTTAAAAGTGGCCCTCACATCGTGGAAGTTAAACCCCAGGTTGGTGGTCAAAATTTATCCTTAGAATTTCAGTTCATCTAGGGTTGTCCCTAGGGGATTAAACTGTACAATCCTTTACTCTTCAAGACATGGTTTCATGCATATGCTTCTTGAAGTATGATTGTAGGAAGGAATCTTTGAAAATGAACTGTGAATTTGATCTGACTGTGGTCGTATTCAAGGGCACTAGGTTACTTTATTACGTAGATAGATTATCCTATCTTGGGGAAGATTGTTTGTTTCACATAATCATGTTAGACGCTCTTTTGTTTGAAACAATCCGAGATCTTCAGAGTACTTCTACTAAATATCATTGAACTATTGTGGTTAAAGCTAACCTTATCATCTTTGTATATCCTTGGTGTCCTCCCCCACCCTACAATCCATTTCCCTTGTTTACTGCCATCGATTTATCTGAGTTTTCATTTTTGAGCTTCAAATTATATAATGAAGCATGACTATTTTCCAATCTTTTATGGCAGGGTGTCAACAAGGGAATTGTAGCAGAACGTCTTCTCATAACAATGCGTGAAAAGGGAGTAATTCCAGACTTTGTTCTGTGCATTGGTGATGACAGATCAGATGAGGACATGTTTGAAGTAATCATGAGTGCGAGGGAGACTCTGTCGCCGGTTGCTGAGGTTTTCGCCTGCACGGTAGGGCAGAAACCAAGCAAGGCCAAGTATTACTTGGAAGACACAAGTGAGATATTGAGAATGTTGCAAGGCCTTGCACATGCTTCTGAGCAATCTGCTAAAAGTTCTTCCCAACCTTCATCACACTGAGCATTTTTCTGTCCGTGGTTAGCTTCGATTCTTATTCATGGGCTCCCTCCTGTGGGATATTCTTGCTTGGTAAAGCCAACGTGCGAAGTCATGTTGTGGCATTGTTACCAAGTGCATCTAGGTTTCGTTTCCAAGTAGGTGTATTTAATGATGTATCTATTATTTCTGTCCCCATTTGTACAACGTTATTCTTCACTCGGAATGAATGATAGGCTTTTGAGTGTCCCCTGTTATTATTTTTCGGAGGGTGTTGCTACGAAAAGTTTTTGTCCTTCAAGTTTCATTTTTTGGTTAGATATTACTGTTTTTCCAGAAAACAAAATTCATATAGATTTGGAGATTTAAATCATTGGCAATACCAATTGTCAGCTGCCACAGGAAAGATCACAGGAAAGATTACGGTGAGACTGGGTAAGGAGACGTTGAAAAAAAATAAAAAATAAAAAATATTGAAAAATGAATAATTAATTGTTGGTTAAAGTACAATTGAAAAAAAATGAAACCAGCATTGAATTGAGGTGTTAAAACTTGTTTTTCTGTTCAAAATGAAAGGAACCACCTACCATTCAAAAATGTTTGTCACGGACAAAAAATTTCAGCATCAGATCGGATATTTGAATTTGACAAAAGAATTATCAGCGGCATATTAATTATTACAAGTTGAAGGTAGATACTATAATTGCAGAAACTGATACATTGGTTGGGATAAAAAAACCTGATGCATTGGATGAATAGGATAATTAAAGATTTAATGAGATAAAAAATGGGGGAAATAGGAATCTCCATGGTTCATATAATTTTGTAGCAGGTCCGCATTTCAAGAAATTCGAAAATCGAGATTAACGGTAATCAGTCGCGGGAAGGATAGTTCACGCGTTTTGTAGCTTTATACTTACCTGGGCAGTGTGGTGTGGGTAATAAGAAGAGTTGTTTCCCCATCTAATTTTTTTTTTTTTAATAGAGATTGATTTTTTCCCCCCTTGCCAACAGGAAATATATTAATGACAACTCCAAAGTATAACCACAGACAGAAACCACGGGGAAAAAAACCGAAGCATTGAGCACGAGAGAAAATGGAATGAATTTTCTTATCTTATTGAAGGTTACAATATAGTTATGCTTTATATACACAGAAATAAACCTCGTGTCAATGCTAATTAATACTATATGTTAATTACTAACTAACTCTAATAAATACAACGTTCCCTTATTATCTTTCCGGAAAACTAATTTGAAGGTCCTTATAATTACCTTCCATTTTGAATCAGGTTCTTATATATATTTTTCTGTTTATTGAGTCATTTAATTTTCTGTTGTTAGATCTGTTAGTCCTTATAGTTAAGTAAGTCCTTATGGTTAAGAAAATGAAACACCGTTAAAAATTTCCGTTACGTTCTCTCCTTCCCACCATATCAACTTCTCCGTTTTGTAGCTGCTCTTTTAGCTTTTGTCCGGTTTGTGATCCTCACAATTCCTAGAAAGCAAACTCCCATCTCACTCTGCAAATTACATATTATCATAATCTTTTTACTCAATTGACCAAACAAAAATTAAGTTTTAATTTTCGTTTTACTGTGATTTCTGGGTTTCTTCTTTAGTGAGGATGAGAAAGCGAAAGGAGAAAACCAAGCCGTTTATTACGTCTCCTTACTGTGACTTTCAAATTCGTTGGCTATGCAAAGGGGAAAATCACTGCTTATTATTATTATCTCCTTCTGTGACTATAAATGTTTCAACATCCCTTAAAATTCTGTTGCAATATTTGAAAATAATTTCTAATTTTGATCATTCATCTTAATAAGCATAACCTTTTTGTAGGGCGCAAAGTATTCAACGGCGAAAATTTTTATAAATGGTAATATTGGGAAAATCATGGGATAAAAACTGGAAAAAATGGTTTTGCCGCTGGCTCGGCGTGATGTTCTGAAAAGCTAAGAATCTGAAAGGCCGTGACGTTCTGCTGCTGGCTCGGCGTGATGTTTACCATTCTCGCGTTCAAGGCATTATTCCGCCCCAAATTTTTAATTATGTAACAGCATGTCAGGTTTGTTATGGAGAGGTGGGAGGGAACAGTGAAGGCAGGAGAATACAGGGGAAGGAGACAACGTAATGGAAGTTTTTAACAAAGATTGTTCATATTTAACGGCAGGGACCAACGGATCTAATGGTAGAAAATTAAAGGATCTAATAAAAAGAAAAATAATTATAAGGACCTAATTCAAAATTGAGAAAAACCATAAAGACTTTCAAATTAGTTTCCCTTATCTTTATACACTACAAAAAAAAGCTCATTACTGATGGAATTAGCAACGGAAAAATTTTCCGTCACTAATTTTGATGGATTATTGACGGAAATTTCATCGTTAAATTTAGCAACATATTTGCGATGGAATTTTTTCATTCTTAATATTAGCGACGGATTAGCGACAGAATTTTTGTTTATCGTTAACTTCCGTTACTAATCCGTCCGAAAATCCATCAATAAATATTTAGCGACGGAATTTTTTCCGTTAGAAATTTTTGTCGCTAATTCTGTTGCTAAATTGTTTGTTATAGAAGTTTTCATCACTAATTTCGTCACTAGTTCTATTCCGTTTCAATTCCGTTGCTAATCTGTCACTAATTTAAATTTCGTTATTTTAGATTATAATTTTACAACAATTTATATAATAACAGTTAAGAATATACTGATTTAAAAACATTTTTAATTATAAAATAAATTGATATATTTGTGCAGTTGATGTTAATGAAGATATCGTCATCATTCAAGTTATCATTACGTGTATACTGAAAATAGGAAGATAATTTCTTAGAAAACTTATTTATATTTTGTTAAAATAAATTCCTCTTGATTATTGATAATAATTTAAAAAATATAATAAGAATATTAATATATCGAAAGATATAATATATGATAGAAATTCAAAACCGAAAAATAAACTTATATGAACACAAACTAATATTGAAGTGAATTTTGAATTTCAATCACTAAACAATAAAATTTAATCACGATATAGTTAATATCCACGATATAGATTAATTTTGGTCTTTAATACAAAAAAAATGGCATATACAAAGAATTTTAAGAAAATAAATTACATAGGATACATATACAAGTAGGAGAATATTATTTATCAAATCTATTCAAATCATTTAATTTTTTATAAAGAATGATTTATTAGATTTTATTATAATAGTTATTTTTTGAATAACAAGATTTTTTGACTAATTGTAAATGGTTTTCGTCAAATATATAAAACACATATAGATAATATAATATAATGTGATATAATACATATATAATTAAATTGTATATCTTATCAATGTTAATTAAAAAAATAAATTTTAAAAAAATTTTATACAAAAATTATTTATTATTTAAAATTCAAAATTAATGTCCTTAGAAATTAAAATTACATTAAAAAAATATTTTTTTAAAAAATAAAAATTATAAAATAAATAGTAAAATAAATATTTAAAAATTATTTTGTCATTAAAATAGTTATGATTAAAATTATCATATAGTATATTTTTAGTTTTTAATAATACATATGTATATATAATTGTTTGTGTAAAAGAATATATATATATATATATATATATATTTTACATAATAAGTCAACAAATTCATTGCAGCTCAACTGTTAAAGTCGCATGCACGCATAGAGGAGGTCCTGAGTTTGAGTCATGGAAAAGTCACTTAGAGGAGGGGAATTATGTGGTGGCAACACGTGGCAGGCAAAAAGTGAGGTGGCAGCAACATGTGGTGGTTATCGTCGAAGTGGTAGCGATACGTGGAGGTGGTCGCCATGATGACTGGCGACTGGTAGAGTTGCCACATGGCATTTTAATTTTTTTTGCCAAAAATCACACATGGCAGGAAAAGGTGAGGTCGCAGTGACACGTCGCAGTCATTGTCGAGGTGGTAGGAACATGTGGAGGTGGTCGCTGTGATGACGTGGCGGCTGGTGGAGGTGCCATGTGGCATTTTAATTTTTTTTTCAAAAATCAAGTTAGCGACGGAAAATTTCTGTCCATAATTAGCAACAGAAAATTCTGTTGCTAATCCTTGGCTAATTAGCAACAGAATTTTAATTCTATCGCTAATCCAATTAGTTAGTGACAGAACAAATTCCGTTACTAATCTATTTTTGTCACTAATCCATCGCTAAATAAAAAATTTTGTCGCTAAATTCTGTTGCTAATAGCATGTTTTTTTTGTAGTGATACTCCCCCTCAAATTGGAGTACAGATATTAATTATGTCCAACTTGTTACAAAAAGAGTCAATTCAAGCCCCGTTCAAAGCTTTTGTAAGTGGTTCACCTAGTTGATCACTAGATCTCACATAACCTGTGGAGATGAATGTTTATTTGATCTTATCTAGAACAAAATGACAATCAATCTTAATGTGTTTTGTGCGTTCATGAAACAGAGTTGGAAACTACATGTAGAGCCACTTTGTTATCACACCATAGCTTTGTTGATAACAAAGTTTTGAGACCAAGCTCCTTCAATAACTAATATATCCATACTATCTAGCATACAGATTGTGCCATGGCTGTTTATTCTACATCTACACTAGATCAGGATACCACATTTTGCTTTATGCTCCTTTGGGATACTAAAATTTCCACCCATGAAGACATAATATCCTATAGTGGATCATTTAGTAGCTTTAGATCCATCATGATCTACATCACAAAAGCATTCAATATTTGTATGACCATGATTCCTGTATCGTACACCACGTCGAAGGATCCCTTCAAGTAATATAAGACATGCTTTAAAGCTTCCCACTACTTAATAGTCGATGATGCCATGAACTCATTAAGTTCACTAATTGTATAAGTTATATTTGGATGAGTTACGGTGAGACAATTCAATTTGCCAATTAGTCTCTAATACCTCTTAGGATTTTCATATGGTTTGCTTTCATCGACATCAAGTGGATTTTTAGATGGTATGCTCCCATAAGCATCCAGTAGTAGATTAGGAACCCTAGGGAATATACTTGGTGCAACTCCTAGTTTTCTAGTTTTCCCCAACAAATCAAGAACATATTTCCTTTGTGTATAGAGAATGCCTCTCTTACTCCTCGTAACTTCAATACTTAGGAAATACTTCAGTGGGCCCAAGTCTTTTGTTTGGAAATAAGAGTGAAGAAAGGAATTAAGTGATAAGATCCCTGAGGTATTGCTACCGATAATCACAATGCCATCAACATACACAACTAGAAGAA